AATATGAGTAGTTATGTTATTGTATCCTGTTTTGAGTATTTGCATTCATGTTTATCTTTGTGATTTTTAGCCATTCTTCTGACTAGCAGTCCTATACCTATTTCATATTGTACATTGAATATCATTCTATTTCCCCCCACCTTGGAGAGTTCCTATACATGACTTGAATCTGGGCTTCACACACACACACACACAAACACACACACACACACACACACACACATACGTAGAGATGTAAAAGAGCCAAAGACAATAAGTGGCCAAGCTCTTCTGGACTAACCCTAGTTACCCCAGCATGTGGGTCCAGAGCAAAGCAGGCACTTTGTACAGAGGGAGAGGAAATAGAAGGCTAGCCCTTTGGAGGTATTCAGTCTGTCTATCAATAAGCATTAATAACGTGCCTCTTGTGTGCCACTGTGCCCTCAAGGAGCTCACAATCTAATGGGGAAGACAACAAGTAAACAAATATATGCAAACAAACTACATACAATATAAATAGAAAATGATTAAAAGAGGGAAGGTACTAGAATTAAGGGTGATTGAGAAAAGCTTCCCATAGAAGGTGGGATTTTTCCCCAATTGATAAATGGTTAAAGGATATGAACAGGCAGTTCTCAAATGAAGACATTAAAGCTATCTATAGTCATATGAAAAAAATGCTCTAAATCACTTTTGATTAGAGAAATGCACATCAAAACAACTCTGAGGTACCATATCACACCTATCAGATTGGCCAACATAACAAAACAAGTAAATGATAAATGTTGGAGAAGATGTTGGAAAAATGGAACACTAAAGCATCGTTGGTGGAGTTGTGAAATGATCCAACCATTTTGGAGAGCAATTTGGAACTATGGCCAAAGGGCTATAAAAATGTGCATACCCTTTGACCATGCAATAGCACTTCTAGGGCTGTATCCCAAAGAGATCAGAAAAATGGGGAAAAGACCCACATGTACAAAAATATTTACAAGCGGCTCTTTTTGTGGTGGCCAAGAATTAGAAATTGAGGGGATGCCCATCAGTTGGGGAATGGCTGAACAAGTTGTGGTATATGAATGTAATAGAATACTATTGTGCTATAAGAAATGATGAGCAGGCAGACTTTAGAAAAACCTGGAAAGACTTGTATGGACTGATGCTGAGTGAAGTAAGCAGAACCAGGAGAACACTATACACAGTAACAGTCATGTTGTGAGATGACTAACTTTGATAGACTTAGGCCTTCTCAGCAATGCAAGGATCTAAGACATCTCCAAAAATCTCATGATGGAAAATGCTATCCACATCCAGAGAAAGAACTATGGAGTCTGAATGCAGATCAAAGCATACTATTTGCCATTTTTTTCTTCTGTTTGTTTTGTTTCCTCTTTCTTGTGGTTCCTCCTATTGGTTCTAATTCTTCCTTACAACATGACTAATGTGAAAATATGTTTAATAGGAATGTATCAGATTGCACACCATCTTGGAGAGGGAGAGGGGAGGGAGGGGGAGAAAATTTTTAAACTCAAAAGCTTATGGAAGTGATTGTTGATAAATCGAAATAAATTAATAAAAAATATTTTAAAAAAAGAAAGTGGGATTTTAGTTGGGACTTGACGGAAGCCAGAGAAGCCAAGAGGTGAAGATGAAGTGGGAGAGTATTCCAAGCACAGGAGACAGCCACAGAAAATGATCAGAGCTGAGAGATGGAGTATCTTAGTTGTGGAAGAACAAAGAGGCCAGTGTCACTAGATTGAAGAGCACATGATGAGAGGAAAAATGTAAGAAGACTGGAAAAGTTTGGGATGGGGGTTAGGTTATGAAGAGCTTTGAATTCCAAGCAGAAGATTTTGTATTTGATACAGGAGGACATAGGGAGCCAATGGAGTTTATTGAGTCAGGGGAAGGGTGACATGGTCAGAACTGCACTTTAGGAAAATCACTTTGGCAATTGAAAAAAGGATGGATTGGAGTAGGGAGAGACTTGTGGGAGGCAGACCCATCAGTAGGCTATTGTAATAGTATAAGCTTGAGGTGATGAGGGCCTACAATAGCATGTAGCACTAGAAGGTAGTATTAAAAAAAATAAGGTAGCATATTTGAGAGATGTTGCAAAGATGAAATTGATAGGTCTTGGCAACAAATTGGGTATGAGGGATGAAAGACAGAGAAGAGTTGAGGATGACTCCTAGGTGACTGGGAGGTTGCTATTGCCTTTGATAGTAATAGGAAAGTTAGGAGTCAGGAAAGGTTTAGGGGAAAACAACTTAATTTTTGAACATGTTGAGTTTAAGACATCCTGTTCAAAATGTCTAAAAGGCAGTTAGAGATGAAAGCCTGTAGGGCAACAGAGAGGTTAGAGGATAGGTGGATCTGAGAGTCATCAGTATCCATAGTGTCCATAGCGTCCATCTGACAAATGAAGTTGTATAGAGGGAGAAGAGGGCCCAAGACCAAGCCCTGTGGGACACCTACAATTATTGGGTGTGATTTGGCTGAAGATCTAACAAAGGAGACTGAGAAAAAGTAGTCTGTTAAGTAGAAAGAGAACCAGGAGAAAGTGGTATACTGAAAATCTAGAGAGAAGAGAGTATCAAGGAGAAGAGGGAAACTGATCAGCAGTGTCAAAGGCTACAGAAAGGTCAAAGAGATCACTGGATCTGGCCATTAAAAGATCATTGGTATATTTGGAGAGAACACTTTTGGTGGGATGATGAGGTTGAAAGCTATATTGCAAGGCATTAAGAGAGTGAAAGGAAAGAAAATGGAGGCAACTATTGTTGACAGTCTTCTCAAAGAGCTTAGCCACAAAAGAAGAAGAGATAGATGATGTTAGTTATTGGGGACAGAAGTTTTTTGAGGATGGGGGGAAACACAGTGTCACCTTGTATGTCTAAATCACGCACCCATTTTGACCATCTCTTGGTATATGGTGTGAGATGTTGGTCTATCCCTAGTTTGTGCCCTATTGTTTTCCAGTTTTCCCAGCAGTTTTTGTCAAATAGTGAGTTCTTATCCCAATGTCTTTGGGTTTATCAAAGACTAGGTTACTATGGTCCTTGACTACTGTGTCTTATGTACCTAATCTATTCCATTGATCCACCACTCTATTTCTTAGCCAGTACCAGAGATCTAGTATTACTAGGCCATTTTCCTTTGCATTTTTTTCCCATTAATTCCCTTGATATTCTTGACCCTTTGTTCTTTTTTTTTTTTAAGGCAATTGGGGTTAAGTGACTTGCCCAGGGTCACACAGCTAGTAAGGGTCAAGTGTTTTGTCTGAGGCCAGATTTGAACTCAGGTCTTCCTGACTTCAGGGCCGGTGCTCTATCCACTGCACCACCTAGCTGCCCCAACCCTTTGTTCTTCCAGATGAATTTTGTTGTTTTTTTTTTTTTAACTCTATCAAATAATTTTTTGGTAGTTTTATTGGTATGGCACTGAATAAATAAATTAGTTTGGCCAGAATTGTCATTTTTATTATATTGGCTTGGCCTACCCATGAGCAATTGATATTTTTCCAATTGTTTAGATCTGACTTTATTGGTATGAAAAGTGTTTTGTAATTGTGTTCATTGGTTCCTGGGTTTGTCTTGGAAGGTATACTCTCAAGTATTTTATATTGTTTACAGTTATTTTAAATGGAATTTCTCTTTCTATCTCTTGCTGCTGGGCTTTCTTGGTCATATAAAGAAATGGTATGATTTATGTGCTGCATAAGTCCTGCAACTCTGCTAAAGTTGTTAATTAATTCAAATAGTTTTTTTTAGTTGATTCTCTAGGGTTCTCTAAGTATACCATCATATCATCTGCAAAGAGTGATAGTTTGTTTCCTCACTGCCTATCCTAATTCCTTTGATTTCTTCTTCCTCTCTTATTGCTATAGCTAACATTTATGGTACCATATTGAATAATAGTGTGATAATGGGAATCCTTGCTTTACCCTTGATCTTATTCAGAAGACTTCTAGCTTATCAGAATGGGGGAGGAGACGTGTATGTTGTAGGCAATAGGGAAGGAGCTTTTAAACAAAAGATAAGTGATAAAGTGGAAAGATAAAGTGGTTATTCTGTTGAAGAAGACAGGATGAAATGGCATAGTTTGTTCAGGTAAAGGATGTGCCTTGTTAAGGAATAAGGCCAACTTTTTGTGTGAAACAAGGGTGATAGAGTTGATAGAAGCAGAAAACACCTAAGTGATAGGAAATGAGGAAAAGGAGAAAAATAGGACCTCACGGAAAATGGTCTTTTTTTCTGTAAAATATGAGGCAAGGTTCTTAGCTGAGAGGGGATGAGGGTGGTGGCATCATGGGAGGTTTAAAGAGAGATAAAACAAAAGTTTGGAAAAGCTTCTGTGCAGAATAGGATAATGAGTTGATAAGAGAGATTTAGAAGGATTGCCTTGCAGCAGTGAGGGCCCATTTGAGATTGTATGACATAAATTTGTAATGGACCTACACAGAACAATTGCTTGATTTCATTCAGCAGCATATGTGTAGGATTGAAGGCAGCAGATAGTAGGAGTCATCCAAGGCTGAGGCTTGGCAGGTCACAATCAGTAATATAATAAGGGGACCAGGGACTCAGGAGAAGAGGACAGAGTAAAGTTGAACTACTTCACCAAGGGGTCAAGATGGGGAAAGGAGGGAGTGGTTAGTGAAGGGGTCATGGCCTGGGAGAGAACTGAAAGGCTAAGGAATTGGAGGTCATGGTATGGTAAGAGAATGCAGAGGGAGAGGTGGAAAGCCAATAGATTATGGCCATATAAGAGAATTTCAGAATTCTTGAACATAGAGGTGGTGTAGTTGTGAGTGATGGCAAGACAGTATAGAATCAGGTGATGGGGGATGGGGAATAGGGATGCAAATGATGGCCTACACAGGTTAAGAATCACTGAGATATTTAGAGTAAGACCATGTGTGAATATGTCAATCATTGAGTTGGATGGCTCCACACCTCTTTCCAGAGGAGGCTGGAGATCAGGCAGGAAACACATGTAACATGAGATGGAAGGCTCACCATGAGATGGAAAGCTATTTTTCACTTTTCTCCGAAGGCTGGAAATCAGTCAGGGGACATTGCAGTGGGAGATGGAAGTCAAACTTTTGTGGCAGGAAATAGAAGCCCTGTTCCCTACTTTTTTTCCTCTTCCTCTTCCCTCAGGGGACAGGTTCAGCAGGAGATGGAAGATCCAGAGTCACAGGGAAGGTTGCTCCTCTTCTCACCTGAGATTGGATCTAGCAGAGGTTTGAATTATTATACATACGTGCATCTACATATACACATATGGCTTAGATTTATTCAATCAAGTCACTCCACCCCATTTAAAAAAGAGTGATAAGATGGTACCAATCCATAAATCTCTGACCTTTAGGCTAAATGTAAAAAGTCTTTGAAAGCCAATGCATAAAAGTACACTGTACAGAAAGTATGTTCTAATTGTCTGATGGATTTCTTTGTGCCTTCTGGATCCAGTAATGGATCTGGACGAAAGCATCAAGATAGATGGAATCAGGGAGTCCTAGTGAATGGCAAGCCAGAAGAGAAAGATTTCCAGTAAACCCCTGAGAAGGAACACATGGGTTTTAGCCTTGGTCTGGGTCCCCCTCCTCCTCTACTTCTTCTCTTTGGACCAAGGAGAATCTTGAAAGCTAGTCTAGAGGATGTTGGACGTCCAATCTTTCCATCTACGTCCTAGTGGCATAGCTGATGTCAGTGTATATTGAGAACCAAGGACAGAATGGATGTAGATTCATAGACCTACAGGGAGCTCAGCAAAGAATCTCTACAATAACTCAAGTGAACTTCTTGGGCATCTCATAAATGGGAAGGGAAAAAAAAACAGCCCAGCAACCAACAACTTTCTTTGTCACATGTGCTCTCTAAACTTGAACCCACCTTCCCCTGGATTCTGTATGTGCTTGTGGAAAGAATATATCACAAATTTTTGGAGGAGAGATGTTATATAACAACTGTTCTCCCTTAGTAAATACCTCTGTCAAAAAAGCTACTTAAACTTACCTGAATTGATGCAAAGAGAGAAGAACACAGAGAACAGCTTACACAGTAACAGCAAGATGGTCAACTGTGAATCACTTAGCTATCCTCAGCAATATGATCATCTAAGAAAATTCCAAAGGACTCATGATGAAGAATGCTATTCACCTCCAGAGAAAGAACTGATGGAGTCTGAATGCAGATCGAAGCATACTTTTTAAAAACTTTCCTTATTTTTCTTGGGTTTTTTTGTCCATGTTTTCTTTCACAACATAACTAATATGGAAATATGTTTTGCATGACTGCACATGTATACTCTATATCAAATTGCTTGCTCCAGCAATGAGGAAGGAGGGGAAGGAGGGAGAGAATTTGGAACTCAACATTTTAAAAAATGTTAAAAAATTTTTACATTTAATTAGAAAAAATAAAACATTTGGGGGAAAAAAGCTACTTAATTCTGCCTGAGCAAAATTACTCTAGACTGATGATTTTGAGGGGAAGCAAACTGGCTAGATAACATTAAAGAATCATCCCCCAATTCCTGATGGAGTACTTCTAGAATCCTGACAGGGGAGATGTGCTGGGATTCATCTACAAGAATGGGAGTTAAAATAGGATTCTCAGAATATATATGTACATATACATGTACATATGTGACACATATATACACACATACATACACGCACACACAGCAAATAGGCTCTGGGCATGTGTATATACATCATACATATACATGTATGTATATATGCATGTGTGCATATGTGTGCGTGTGCATATACACAGCTAGGTGGCACAGTGGAGAGAGTGCTAGGCCTGAAGTCAGGAATACCTGACCGAAACAATAGTTAGTGTGACCTTGTGCAAGACTAATACTTTACTAGTGTGACCCTGGGCAAGTAACTTTGCCTCAGTTTCCTCATCTGTAAAATGGTGACAATATTAACAGTTATCTCTAAGGGTTGTTGTGAGACTCAAACAAGATAATAATTGTAAAAGGCTTAACACAGTGCCAACTACATCGTAAGCGCTAAATCAATTTTTAGCTAGTAGTAGTAGTCCCAATATATATGGTATGTATACATAGCATCTACACACTCTGAGCATGGTCTACACGTAATGTACACGACGTGTATATCTAGTCACGGTGTCTACACATATGTGTCACGCATGTGTGCATGCGTGCGCATACATGACACCCCACGAGGTTTCACAGCCCCGAGCTCCGTTTCCAACTGCGCTCCCTCCCAGCCCCCGCCGCCGCCCTCGCTCCATCCTCCGAGGTGCCGCAGCTGCCGCTGCTGCAGCTGCTGCCATGGTGACGGATGTCGCGAGAACGGCCGCGCGCCGCCTCGCAGTTCTCGCAAGATCTGTGGGGGGTGGGGGGAAGGCGGAGGGACGTAGGGCCAGGGAGGGAGGGAGGGAGGGAGGGCCGGGGAAGGCGGGGGCAGTCGTTCAGCTCTAGCTACCACCGCTGCTGCTTCCGGTGCGAGGTGCAGGCAGGCGGTCGGGCTGTCGGGCGGTGGGGACGGGGGAGCAGCCTCGGCGGAGTCAGCCGGGGAAGCAAGGCCGAGCGGAGGCGGAGGCGGAGGCGACGGAGCTGGCTCCCTGAGCAGGTGACAGGGCTGGGGCCTGAGTTCCCCTCAGAGAGATGGCTGGGGGGGAGGGGAGGAGGACGGAGGGGAAGGGGAGATCCGGGGGGGGGGACAGCTCCCCTTCCCCCCCCAAGCCGGAGGGGCACGAGGCAGGTACCCTCCCCCGGAGAGAGAAGGCGGCGGCGGGGGGTTGGGTGGGGGCTTGGAGTGGGGGCGTCAGGCTCCGGCCCCCTCGTTTGAAGGACGGGGAGCTGGTGGTGGGGACTTACGGACAGACCGACGGACGCAGGCTCGCTCCCCTCCTGTCATTCCGAGGGGCCCAGGGACTGGAGGCTGGTATCCGGCAGTGCTCGATCCCTCCTTTCCTCTCCCCTCCCCCCAGGTGGGTTGGGGGCAGGGACGAGGGGCGGGGGGAGATCCAGAAAGGGAGAGTGTCCTGGGAAGGGGCTACCGGGAGGCGAGGGAGCGTCTCTGCCCTCCCCCCCTCGCCTGGGTGACACCCCACCCTCCCGAGGCTGGGGCAGGTGGGGGGCGGGGGAGGGCAGGAGCGCAGCTGCGGCGGGGGTTCGGGGCGGCGAGTAGCTTCTCTTGGGTTCCCTGGGAACACTTGTGGGGGGGAGAGGGCAGCTGGAGGTGTGTGTTGGGGGAGGAGGAGGAAGAGGAGAAGAAGAAGGGAGGAGGTTCTCCGCCTGCTCGCAGGAGGGAGGTAGGTACTCCCTCCCCCAGGCTAAGCGGGGGCGGCCTTCACTGGAGCCGAAAGGAGGGAGCATCTTAGAGCCGGCCCCGGGTTTGCATCTTCCAATCCCATTCCTTCCCTTTGGAAGGACTAGGATTCCTGGAACAGAAAATGGTGCCTTTGCTTTATAAGCCAACCGTTTGAGGGAGGGGGAGGGGGAGGAAGTTCCCTTTTAAAATGGGCCATTTGATTAGGAAAGTAAGCAGCTCAAGGTTGGGAATGAGCCTCATTCCCCAAGTATCCAGGACGATGTTGCTTCACACACCTGCCTTTTCCCTTTTCACTGGACTTGTTAGAGGGTTCGAGATGAAGAGGTAGTATGGTTGGATGAAAAGAAACTGTGAGGTAATCCCAGTGAGGGCGAAGTGTAACTGAAAACCTGTCCCCAGCTTCTGTTGGATTTGATCCCCCCTGGTCTGTGTGGCATGAAAGTTTTATTGGGAGGTAATCTGTTACTGGGGTCTGATTGCTTGGGTACAGTGCAACAAGACAGGACACTGGCCACCTTGTAAAGTTCCCTCTCATCCTTACCAAGAGGTCTGTGACAAGTGCTTTATATCCATCTTGCCTCATGTCTATTTCTTGGACTGGCCTGGTCATTGAGAATGAAAAGAGTTGGACACAAAGGTGGACCATTTAGATCATTCTGAGAGCTGGGTCGAATCCCAGGGCATCTGGGTCGGGAGTCTCTACCGGAGAGGGATCACTTAACACATTTTCCCCACCCCCACTCCTCTGAAGTACACTCTTTGCCTGCTATTGTTTACTTATTCTTGTGTGTATATGTGTCTTGTCACCATGAGATTATAAAACCAGTTTTTGCCTTTAAAGAGTTTACAGTTTTATCTCTTTTCTCTCCCCTACCCCCATCTTACAGTGACCAGCAAAATCCTATGTGCACATAGTAGGAATTCAGTTTATACTAATTGAAAGAATGACCACACTAAGTGAGTAATCAGCTTTGACACATTCTGTCAAAGATGTCTTGATGCCTCATAGAAGTGAAGAAGAGAAGTGATTTGTCTAATTTATCTAACTCTTCGGAGTTTCTGGGAAGTAGCCAAATAGTGGGACTAGGACCTCAGGCTACGGTCTTTGAACTTTGCCATTAGGTATGCTTTATGCATTGTGGTTTGTGTATTTTGTAATAGAGCTTTCAGTCTTTCTGGGGTCTCTTCCAGCTCTAAATAAGTGATCATATGATTTCATGTTTCCCAACCTTACTGTGAAAACAGATATTAGGGATCATTTTTTTATGATGGGAAAACTGAGACATAGTAAACAAGACTGTAATATTTCTCTTAATTGGCAGTTTTCTTCTTCTTTAGATTCAGCCCCTCTTATAATTATATTAGTAATAATAGCCAAAATGACAAAACAGGAAAATGGATAAATGTTGGAGAAGATGTGGACAAATTGGAACACTAATGAATTGTTGGTGGAGTTGTGAACTGATCCAGCCATTTTGGAGAGCAATTTGGAACTATGCCCAAAGGGCTATAAAAATGTGCATAGCCTTTGACCCAGCAATAGCCCTTCTGGGGCTGTATCCCAAAGAGATCATACCAATGGGAAAAGGACCCACATGTACAGAAATCTTTACAGCAGTAATAACAGCTAATGTTTCTACAACATTTAAGAATTTACAAAGCATATTCTTTATACCATTGCATGAGGAAGCTAATATAAGTATTATCTCCATTTCCCAGATGGCTCAGAGATGTTAAATGATTTGCTGAGTGTGACTCAATCTGTATGCGGCAGGGACTCAAACTCAGACCTGTTGACTACAAATTCACCGTTGTGTCTTATAGTGCTCTTGCAGTCTTGAGATGGTATCATTGGGTCCTCGAAGAGCCCGAGGAAGCCATTGCCCAAAATCTGGGGGCAACAGTGCATCCGCAGCTTCACATTACTTTAGTGAACAGGCTGCATCCATCATGGTGAAAAGAAAAGAGAGTGGAAATTATTTTTACAGTCTGTTTTATGGAGTATGCACCTCAGATATCCTTTTCTTAGTAGAGAGATCGCGCAAAGAAATGATTTCAAGACAAGGATTTAAGTTAAGAGAGAGGTTTTCAGTTAAGAGTGATTCTAAGTAATCAGATGATCAAAAACATAGAATTGCTTTTCCTGATAATTTTTAGAAACAGGAGAGGCAGACTCTGGTTAGAATTGAGGTATATTTGGTTAAAGCTGTCTGGTGATTTAATCGGGGGGGGGGACACACCATTTTTCCTCCTTATCCCTAATATTTTTATCCACATGAAATCTAATTAAATGGAAATAAATGGTTGCCTTGAAAGGAAAATGTTCAAAAAATGTTCATATGTACCCTGAAGTGTATGTGAAAAAATGAGGAAAGGAGTGTTTATTATCAGGGCCTTATATTTAATAAATTTAATGTTTTAGCAGCAGCTTTTTAGGTTGTCCCACATTGTGGATAGAGTTATCCTCAATAATGATGATGATGATGATGATGATAGCTTGCATTTATATAGTGCCTACTATGTGCCAGGCACTGTGCTAAGTGCTTTACAATTTCATTTGATCCTCACAGCAACCCTGAGAGGTAGGTGCTATTATTATCCCCATTTTACAGTTGCCGAAACTGAGACAGACAGGGGTTAAGTAACTTGCCCAAGGTTACACAGCTAGTAAGTGTCTGAGGTCAGATTTGAACCCAGGTCTTCCTTGCTGCATATCTCGCTGGAGTCCGTCCAATACACTGTCTAGCTGCCTTCAAGCCAGGAAGACCTGGGTTCAAGTGTTGCCTCTGGCATACTGACATTTGGAACTCTCAGCTTATAGTCTATATCCTAATGATAGTCCATAGGATAGATATGTGGTCTATGCTAAGGCCATAAATTGCAGGGAAGGTGCCAACCTATATTGTTAGAGGGTCGTTTCTTACCAGGGAATTCCCTATATCAATAAATTCACAGATCCACTTCCTGTTCTTTCTTGAGGTAGCTGCAGTAGGAAGAGAAGGAGCAAATTGTGGAGCCCATGACAATTGACTTGGTGCTCTGAAATAATGAAATGGCTCATTCAGAGAAAGAGCTAGTTTTAGAAATGGGGCTAGATGACAGTTAAGTAGATTCAAACCAGATTGAAAGACCAGACCTATACAATAGTGATTACGAAATCAGTGTCTTTATAGGTAGAGGCTTATGGTGACTTGCCCTAGGGAGCTCTTTTTGTCTGTCTTCTGATCAATATTTTTAACAGTGAATTTGGTGAAAGGATAGATGGTGTGCTTATCAAATTTGGAGATCACACAAAGCTGAGATGGACATCTAACACAGAATCAGGATTTCAAAAGACCTTAGTAAGCTAGAACAATAGACTAAAATCTAATAGATAAAATTTAATAGAAATAAAAATAATGTTCCATGTTGGATTTTTAAAATTAAATGTAAACTTTCTGGTGGAGAAGGTGTGGTTAGATATCAATCTATGTTAAAAAGATATGGGGGAGTTTTCAGCCTTTAAGCACAGTATGAATTAGCATCATAGTGTGGCAGCCAAGAAAGAAGGATTGATAGCACTGTACTACAGGATACAAAGACAGAAATGAAAACCTTTTCCCTCAAAGAGCTTATATCCTATGAGACAGAAACAGCATTGTTTGAAAAACAGGGCTGTGCAAAGAGCACTAATGACTGTAAGGAATCAGGAAAGACTTCCTATGTCAGATTGAATCTGAACTGTGATTTGAAGGAAGCTGCAGAGGTTTGGAGAGAGCAAGATAGGGATGAAGAATAGTGATCTTAGGCTGTTTTAATAGAAGCATATAAATTTAATAGAAGCATAGAGAAATTTCAGCCCCACCATACTCTTCTGTAACCGGAACACCTCTAGAGATTTGTATCTAGCTCTGGATGCCACCTTTGAGCAAGAAGACTGACAGACTAAACCAGGGGTGGAGAACTCGCGGCCTTGAGGCCACACATGGCTCTTTGGTCCTCAAGTGCAGCCCTTTGACTGAATCCACACTTCACAGAACAAATAAATTGGGATTCAGTTAAAGGGCCACACTTGAGGATCCAGAGGGCCAGCCACATGTGGTCTCGAGGTTACCACCCCGATACTGGACATGGATACAGTTGCCAAGATAGTGAGAAGATGAAATCATATACAAGGGCCAGTTGAAGCCAATCAGGATATTTAGCTTGGAGAGCATATTAGCTAGGGAACATATTAGCTGTCTTCAGTTATTTGAAGGACTTTAATGTGGAAGAGGGAGATTAAACTTAGAATAAGTAGGGCCCCAAAGGATAGAATTTAGGTTCAGTAAGTAGAAGTTGCAGACAGGCAGATTTCAGCATCATATAATGTGAAACTTCCCAACAATTACAGCTCTCTAAAAAGTAGAGTGGACTTATTTTGAAGATAATTCCCCACCAGTGGAGGTCCTGGGTCACGGAATTTAAAACTGGAAGAGAACTTAAACATCATCTAACCTAACATTTTTTTAAGATAAGGAAACTGAAATACAAAGAGATTAGGTGACTTGTCACACACGTACTAAGAGTAGAGCCAGGCTTCTAACCCAGTTCTTCTGATTTTAGATCCATTGCTCTTTCTACTATCCCCAGACCTCCTTTCCACTACAGAGAGGATTCCTGTTGAGGCATAGGTTAGACTAGATGACCTCCGAAATGTTATGAAGAGCTAATGTAATCCTGAGCCTAACACAAAAGAACTATCAAATATCTTTCCCATATTATTTGTTCTCATTCAGTTCCTTATCCCATTTTTTTGTTTTAGATTTCAATAAGTACAGATGTGTTGGTCCATTGTTTTCATTCAGTTGTCCTATAAATGTATATATTTATATAACCCCTTTAGATTGTAAACTTCATGGGGCTATAAATTATTGTTTATGTAATTCTATTTATATGTTGCCCAACATAATATGAGTTTCAAATGGACACTAAAGGCTTTTTGACAATTATAAGAAATTTGAAGCGAGCCCTCAAAAAATGGAAAAACATAAAGGACTGGGTATGTAGCCTGGGAAAGAAATGGCTGTGGAGTTAGAGGAGGACTTCTGTTAAAGGTGATGACATAAAGACTCTAAATAAGCCCATTCCCTCTACCCCTGGAAAACACCTCAGAAATTATGAAGAGCGCCAGATAAAACAAAAGATTTAAAAGAAAAACATCAGGGCAGCTAGGTAGCTCAGTGGATAGAGCTCCGGCCTTGGAGTCAGGAGGACCTAAGTTCAAATTCGGCGTCAGACACTTGATGCTTACTGGCTCTGTGACCCTGGGCAAGTCACTTAACCCCAACTGCCTCACCAAAAAGCAAACAAAAAACAAAACAAAACCCCACCAGTGAGTTTCTCCAACCTCCTGGGACTTTGCCAGAAGACTGCCAGAAATCAGCAGATATCCTAGTCAAAGGGCATGCCAGATAAGGAGCCTGAAACCAGTGCAATCTGCTTTTCATTTTTAAAAATTTGCCCAAAATTATGAGAACTAGAGAGCAAAGTGAAAATAAAAAGAATCCACATGTCATCTACTAACTGAAAGAATCCCCAAATTCACCATGCACAGAAACATAATCCAAGTCCAGTGCTTTCAGGTCAACAGAAAAATAATACAAAAGCTAAAATGAAAAGAATCAAATACCAAACAACTACAGTCAGTATCACACAAGATTACGAAGCAGTTAGTTAAAGAAAAAGAAAGCTTGGAATCCAGTATACCAAAAGGCAGAAGTAGAAGGCATATAACCAAGAATAATTTACCCTCAAAAACTAAGTATAGTCCTACAAAGGGAAAAAATGGACCTTTGATAGAAGACTTTGAATAATTCCTGATGAGAAACTCAGAGCTGGGCAGAATTATTAAATTCAAACATAGAAGACAGGAAATTTGGCAAGGTAAATACATTTGAGAAATTTAAATGAAGTTAAATGGTGATCAGTGCTCATTTCCCAGTAATGGGAGAGGAAGCCATTGTCCCTTCAGAATATCTGTCTTCAGAACTTAAAGGATGAGCAAAGAAAAGAAAAAAAACTCAAGAAATGGGAGTTCTTTTGTGCTATTGCTTGTTTAAAAAAAAAGAGGGAGAAATACACTAGTTAAGACAGGAAGAAGAAGGGGGGAAAATTATTTCTCATAACTGGGATAGATATATATATAATATATATATTATATATATATATATATATACACACATATATGCGCGCGCACACACACACACACACACACACACACATATATATATATATATATATATACACATATATATATATATATATATATATATATGTATAAACATGAGGATGGAAAGAGTAAGCATCTCATGAACCTCACTCTTATATGAACCAAGCAAAGGGAGGTCAAACACACATGCATATTTTTGTGCACACATAGTTTACTGTAGAAGTAC